TCTTAGATTTCTTCTTCTTCAGTGACGACTCTGTGCACAATGCTGATCCTGAAAGCCTTCTCGCCGTTGACACGCCTCGCAGCTGGATTGAAACCTCCCTGCTCGGCTGACCTGCTCTTCGCTTCAGCATCACAGCAGCTCCGGTCCTGTTCCCCTTCTAAAAGAGCACATTGGCGTTGTTGCAAATGCCACGCCGTTACTGCGGTTCGTGCAGGGCTCCCCTGCACGCCGATGACAGCCATGCGGAGTACGTTTCCTGCTTGGGGAAACCCAATGCGGAAGCCACTCACACGGGAACTGATTGTTCTCATTGCGAGAAATACAGTCTCGCCTCTCTTCCTTCGCGGATCGCTTTCTTTTCAGAGAGCGGCTCCGCCCCTCGCGCCCTCCAGTTTTCTTCCTCCCAGGGACCTGTGAGGAAAAAACAGCGGGGCAGAGGACTTGAGCGTTTGGCTACGGATGAGCTCACATCGGCCCAGATCCCGTGTGCCTCGCCCTCGCCACAGAGAGAGGATTCACCTGTCTTCTTTTCCCAGCCTGACCAGTGTCCCTCTGCCAGCACGAGCGTTCTGGTCTCGTTTGGGGGAAGTAAGGACGAGCTGCCTGATGACAGCATGTCAGAGCTGTCGGGCTCGTTACTGATCCCACCCCCTTGCTGTCGTCCGTGCCCAGCGCCACCAAAGCCGGGATGGATGCTCAGGCAATTGGGAGATCGATGGCCAGCCTTGTGGTGCTCGAGCGCCATCTATGGCTAACAATAACGGAAATCAAGGATGCGAATAAGCTCCCCTTCCTTGACACCCCGATCTCTCCCAACGGCCTCTTCGGACCGGCGTTCGAAATATTCGCCGAGCGCTTCACGGAGGCACAGAAGTTGTCCCAGGCCATGCGACACTTCCTGCCAAAGCGCTCCAAAGCCCTCTGAGGCAGATGGGAATCTGCATTCTCAATTACCTCGGCGACTAGCTCGTGCTGGCCCAGTCAGAGGCAGAATCGATAGCACACAGGACCCTCCTCCTCAGCCACTTAGAGCACCTGGAACTCAGGGTCATCTTCGCCAAGAGCATGCTGCTCCCCAGCCAACGAATACCGTTCCTGGGGGCAGTTTTGGACTCTGCTCAAATGAGAGCTGTAGTCGCGCAGGAACGTGCTCTGGCCATGCGGAAACTCACGGCCTCCTTCAAAAGCGGTGCCGCTCACCCTCTCAAGACATTTCAGAGGATGCTGGGCCTCATGGCCACAGTATCACCAGCACTACAGCTGGGCCTGCTTCGTATGCGACCCCTTCAGCGCTGGCTGAAACCGCGGGTTCCATCACATGCGTGGCGTCACAAACGCCTACATAGCAGGGTGAGCCAGGCCTGTGTAACAGCCCTGGCCCCTTGGAAAGACTCCCGCTGGATGGAACAGGGCGTGGCCATGGGAATGGCTTACAGGAGGAAAGTTGTCACCACAGATGCCTCCAACAGAGGTTGGGGGGCTCTGTGCGAGGGCAAACCGACTTTCGGCCATTGGTCGAAAGGGGGAAAAGGGCTTCACATCAACTGCTTAGAAATGCTAGAAGTGTATCGAGCCTGTCAGTAATTCCTACCAGTCCTGAAAGGACACCATGTGCTAATCCGCTCAGACAACATGTCTGTGGTATCTTACATAAATCATCATGGAGGCCTCTCCTCGAAACGCCTCTTCATTCTGGTAGAGCGCCTTCTGGAATGGGCTCAACTCAACATGCGCTCGCTAAAGGCAGCGCATATACAAGGCATATTGAACCAGGGAGTGGACATGCTATGACAGAGCAATGTCCCCTCAGAGGAGTGGATGCTCCATCTGCAGACGGTTCAGACAATCTGGGAGATCTTCGGCAAGGCAGAGATATACCTCTTTGCCTCAGAAGACAACTCTCATTGCCCAATTTATTATTCAAAGGTCAGGGACGCGTTGGCCCACAATTAGCCCACGACTGGCCCAACCTCCTCCTTTGCGCATTTCCCCCGATCGCCCTGATCCCACAGGTAATCAGGCGAATCAAGGAGCAGGGACACAGGGTTCTCTTGGTGGCCCCCCTCTGGAAGAACCAACTTTGGTTGTCAGAGCTAACACGGCTGCTGGTAGCAGCCCCCTTGCCCATTCCATTGAAATGGGATCTCCTCTCTCAAGCGAATGGGACAATATGGCACCCTCGATCCGAACTGTGGGCCCTGCACCTTTGGCCGCTCGACGGGAGCCTACAAGCCTCCCAGAGCGAGTTTTAAACACTATTTCGGAAGCTAGAGCCCCATCTACAAGACGCCTCTACACCCTTAAGTGGTCTGTTTTCTCCGCTTGGTGCTTAAACCGCGGCAAAGACCCATCTACCTCTGACCTGTAAGTGGTTTTGTCATTCCTACAAGAGCTGCTGGATAAGGGACGCTCCCCATCCATGCTCAAAGTATATGTAGCAGCTATAGCGGCCTCACATGCCCCTATAGCGTGCCAGTCAGTGGGCAGGAACAACTCAGTTGTCCGCTTCTTGAGAGGGGCCAGGAGGCTGAATCTGCCTCGCCCCCTCACTATCCCTACATGGGATTTACCTACTGTGCTGAGGGCCCTGAAGGGCCCTCCTTTCGAGCCACTACAGTCTACGAACCTAAGGTCACTGTCGCTAAAGACTGCTCTGCTTCTAGCAATAGCATCGGTAAAGCGAATAGGAGATCTGCAGGTGCTTTCCATTAGCCCTGCCTGCCTGGAATTCGGGCACAACGACTCCAAAGTCGTCCTGAAACAAAATAGGAGATCTGCAGGCGCTTTCCATTAGCCCTGCCTGCCTGGAATTCGGGCCCAATGACTCCAAAGTTGTCCTGAAACCAAGGCATGGTTATACACCCAAGGAGCTCTCCACTCCATTCAGAGCACAGGTCATTACGCTCTCTGTGCTTCCTTCCTCTGAAAAGGATCGAGAGTTATCCTTACTCTGCCCCATCAGAGCTCTTAAGATTTTACATTGAGCGTTCCGCCCCCTTCAGAAGGTCGGAACAACTCTTTGTTAGCTTTGGTAACCGCACCAAAGGGCATCTGGTCATGAAGCAAAGACTTTCTAGGTGGATAGTAGATGCTATCACGCTAGCGTACTCTTCCTTGGGCCTACAGTGCCCCATCGGAGTACGGGCCCATTCGACTAGAGGCATCATCTCGTCTTGGGCGTAGTATAGCGGTGTGTCCACTACGGATTTTTGTGAGGCGGCCGGCTGGGCCTCGCCATCCACCTTTGCTAGGTTTTATAACCTAGAAGTCCCGGCCTTGCAAGCCAGGGTCCTTTCTGCATAAGGAGACACTCACTGCGTTATGCAATCAGTTCTAACAAAGAGTCCTTGACCTTAACACGCTCAAGCTCTTGGGTTAGTTTACTTGTCGGTTCTTGGCCCCTGGGGCGCCGAAGTTGTACGAGTACTTTAGAACAAGTACCCAGGCCGGGCGTGACCTTGAGGAGTTAATGTAATGTAACCTCGGTTCCCTGAGATACGGGAACGAGTACTGCGTTCCTAGCCGTGCTATGTAGCTGCACGACTCACTCGTCGCTTCAGTCGAAGTAACCTTAGAATCCTGTGGCGAATGCCCGCTTATATAGCCAGATGGCTCCACCCATTCTGACGGGCTCTGGCGGGCTTTGTCACCATAGGCTTGTGGAGCACCGCTGCCGACCCATTGGTTCGATTTTTAATGCACTGCACGAACCAATGGCCGTGCAGTTTCACTGCGTGATTGAAAAAAGGCTTCAGTTCAGGAGAAAAAAGGCTTTTTCCCATAGCGTCTTTAGCAAGACGCAGTACTCTTTCCCGTATCTCAGGGAACCGAGGTTACATTAGTAACCGAGTACGTTTTCCCATCTCCGTGTCCATTATATAGGTCATTTAATCACAGTTTCCCAGTGTGACCACTTACTGCGATTATGTGACAACATCACCACCATTGGAAAATCAAAGCACACAATGAGGGGAATGCTGGTATTTTTTTGATAGTGAAAAGTTGGCCACACCATCCTCATCTAACATTTTTGTTTCACTTTCCTCTTTCTAGTTATTTTTGATTTTTTGTTTTCTCTTCCTTCTCTCAAGGTCCTGCTAGTCATAGTATTCCTATATTAAATGATATTGATCATACAAGCATTACAGGTGAGTTTACATTTTTGAGTTCAAACAGACCTACAAAAATATATATATGTGGTTCAGTACCATTTGCTCTTTGTCAAGCATTACTATAGTGTTTGCATGTTTTATTTACATTGTTTGTTCATGATTTTGTTCTAACATTTAGTAATGTAATTTCTTGTGAAATAGTAAGATGGGCTTGTTCCTCTGTTTAAATGATAATTTACCCTGTTGTTTATCTAAGTGTTACCCTTGTTGTGTTTAATGTACCAAGTCTTGTATTTTATGAGTGTTTGTTTGTTTCTTTATGTGTGTGTGTATGTATGTATGTCATGCATGTTCATGCCATGTTGTCAACAGTATAAAACAAGCGTTTTGCTCCACATAAGTGTTGACTAACTCAAAACAATATACATATACTTCTTAAGAAATAATATTAAAATCACCTAATCTGAATAGGTTACGATTTTATTTCAGTCAAAACATATTTGAATATTTAGGCAGATGAACTCAATTCAGATATGTCATGCAAGTTGGCAGAACTTGGCACCTTCATTTTAATATTCATTAAACATTGAACTTTTTCTTACAGTGCAAGCTGAAAGCAGCAGCAAGCCAGAGGGTTTCAACTTTTGAGTCATAACAACCCACATCTCCATAAAGTAGCTTCAATCATATTAGAGTGGACAGATACAGTTCAGAGCAGAAGGCAATGGGTATCTACAGTTTCCACCCAAAATGTATTTTTTGTACATTGTTGATGCAGACCTGTCATATGAAGGGGCTGACGTTATTATTCTCAGACACGTGACTTTGTTGTCTTATAAACTAGTAAAGTCAATGGGGGAAGCTTATTCATCACTGAACTGTTGTTAAACTCTTGGTTATCTGTTGTGACTCTCCTGAGAGACAGAACATGGATGTCTTTACAACCTCAGACTGTAAGTATCACAAATCATGAAAAATTTTATTACATTTTATATGACTGTATAAACAATAAACAACCTTTTAAAAGACTGGAGTTATAGATTGATAGGTCGGCTATATTAGTCATGTTAGGTCATTAGCTTAGACTTTTTATTAACTGTTAACTGCTTTGGTCCTATATGTTCACTATTTGATTAAATGAATCACATGGTTTAAATCAATTGAATAATTTAAGTACCAAAAAGGACTCAATCTGTGTTTACCTGAATGATTTCTGGCTTCCAACAAGAATATAATTTTTTTCTGAAGGGCTTTGAAGAGACTTTTCATCACCGTTTCATGTTGCTTCACTCTTCAATATGATATTTTGCACTAATCGCATGTTTTCTCTCTTAATAGATGAAAGTGATGCTTTTATTTTCACAGATTTGACAGACTTGGTGAGTATTATTATTTATGATATTATATTTTGTGGAGTTCAAAATTCTGGTTTAAAAGTTTTGCATATTATGAATCTGTGTTAAAGCTAAATGACATACAGTATACTGTCAATGTGGTTTGCATTGGTAAATTTAAAAGTTCAAAAATATGTCAAGATATTGACCCCCCATAACAACTGTTCAAGTCAACATTAAAATGCTGCCCACAGCAAATCTTATCAGTTAGCAGTCGTTAAGATCTGTTCTTGTTAGTGCTGTATGATTGTTTGGACATTAGATGTCTTTTTCTGAAAATGTATTGTGTTAGTCAAGTAAAACTATGTATCTTTATCTTCACATCTTACTACACCTCATGCACCTCTTGGATTAAGATCATACACACGGTCTGTTTCCAAATTGGTGATTTTTTTAAACAACACAATGAAAAGATTTTCCACTGTGTGCATCACATATCCTTTATCTGCCATGTATGTATGTATGTCAGGATGGAACAGAATTTAGCGTTTGACATGCTCCAAAGGGGGTCTGAGTATGAAGACCTCTGGGGGGAGGGGTGATGCTCTATTTGTTTGCGTACGCTTTAGAAAGGGTTGAAAGAGGATGTGGATGTGGTGTACTTGTGTGGTTTCTCCACTAGAGACACCTGCACCTGAGCTAAGCTGTGGAACATGTTTCATAAATTTAGATTGTCAGAGCTCGCTGTAGCGTGATGTCACACAGAGTCACACTTTACTGATCAACTGGATTACAGCTGCAAAATGGCGAGAGACTGTTGTACCACTGTAGACAGGAAGTGGTTGTCAGTTGAGTAGAAGATTGTCTGAAAAGACAGTGGGAAACAAACTTTTCAATTTCATAGTCAGCATTTTGACAAGTGATGACCTAATTTCAATAAAACTACATTACTAACATCATCAAACTGCCATGGTATGCAGAATTTAAATAAAAGCAAGAGAATTTAAAGGAATATTTAACACAAAAATTATTTACTCAACCTCATGTCATTCCAAACACTTATTACTTACTTTCTTCTGTTAAACATGAAAGAAGATATTTTGAAGAATGTACAGGCCACTCTTTACCATATAATGAGAATTAAAGAGGGTTGCTGAGTGCCAAAATTATAAAAAAATAAAAATAATAATAATAAAGTATCAAGCTGTCCACATGACTCATGCTCAGTATTGTAAGTTCACAAGTTTGCCTACCCATTCAGTCCTGCTAGATAACGGTAAACAAACTTGGAACAAGGAGGCTTGAACCTGAGGCTTGGACCCCCCCCCAATTTAACTAATCCGTCCCTCGGGTCATTTTGACCCAAAACTCATTTTTAAAGATTTTTTAAAAATCGAGCATTGATCGTTATGTTATGAGACTTTTTTACTTTTGTCACACTTGAACCGGTAATACATGAAATTTTTTTTGAGTGAATTTGAGCAGTTTAAGTGGGTACTATAAAAAAAGTATCAAAAGTGTCCCTTGTGGGTCATTTTGACCCGCCACTGGAAAAGCATGGAATTTACGAAAAAACTGCAGATTTTTTACATTTAATTTTGTCACACTTGAGCATGGAGTCGATTCGAGGATTCTATGTGTAATAAAATAAGGTTTAATAAAAAAAGTAACAAAAGTGTCCCTCGGGGGTCATTTTGACCCGGCCATAGGAATGAATGGAATGCCCGAAAAAAACAGCATTTTTTTATTTATTTGATTTTTTTTACTATATAATATCTGACACAATCCAGAAAAGATGCATACCCAAACACAGGGCTGTGACTGCAGAATGTCCCCAATACACAAAAAACTCACATACCCACACACACAGGTACACACACAAACACACACACTCCCATTGAAACATTTTATAGCATTTATGATGTTTCTGCTGGGAAATGACTGTCATTTTGAATTTTTTTTGACTTAACACAGTTAAATTTGAGTGATGGGGTGGAGACCAATGAGTTTATATCATATTTATATTTTTAAATTGATCTTTTATATTTATTACATATTTATGAAACTGTATGAATATGCATGTGCTTGGATAAAAAATGTTTTTTTTTTTTTTTTGTTAACGTTTATTTTATTTCCAGTAACGAAATGTTTTATTTTACGGTTTTAATTTTAGTTTCTGTTTTAGTTTTAGTTAACTATAATAACTCTGCTTCTATTTTATGTTTTTTTTTTCTTCAGGCTGATGCGCTATGTTCCTCTTTGTATTTTTGTATAGTTTGAGTGACTATAAATATGTCATATTTAGAGGAGTGATTTGTCACTTCTGCTTTAGGTATTTCATTTGTTTTGAGTGTCTGTCTCTGACTCAGGGCACTACTGGAAAGCTTTGTCATTCAGTGCAATACAGTCTTGCATTGACAGTCTTTTTGACATAAAGTCTGGTCGGCTCATTTAAGAATCTCCATAGGATTCAATAGGCCCCTCTAGTGGCTATAATCATAAAATGCAATTTTATGCAATTTTTCCCCACCAGATGACATCAGAGACACTCAGTGACCTAGGTCCTGATGGATCATCATGTTTAAAGTATAAAAATGCAGAAATTGTGTCTTTCTTTGTTTTTTTGTTTTTTGGTGAAAAAATTTATAAAAATATGCTCATTTTCATAAAAATATCCAGAATTTAATGTGAATAAAATAAAAATCACCAAAAAATAATTAAAAAACCTACATAAAAAATTAGAAAAAAAAAATATAAAAATGGACCAATATAAGCTTTCTGGACCAAAAATAAAATTAGTGTCATTTTTGGCCTTCGGGTCATTTTGACCCGCGAGGGACACTTTTGTTATAGGTTCGGGAGGGACGGATAAAGGAGTAATGAAGGTCAGAGGAGGAGAAGGGGAAGATTAGTTATGTCGGAAGAATTGTCGCTGGGATAACGCAATGACTGCTGCTTATATATGCTCATAGCGATGATTGACAGGACTAAATGAGTCAAGTCAAGTCACCTTTATTTATATAGTGCTTTTAACAATACAGATTGTGTCAAAGCAACTGTACAGTATCTAACGATGTAGCAAGCACATCGTTACAAATGATTAGGCTCCTCCTGAACCTATGTTTGGAACTTCATCTTATGAAGCCATATAACTGTATGTATGGTGACTTTAGACATGACACATGCAGTTTTGATGACAATAACAATGTGATGTCAATGGAAGGTGACCAGCTGTGACATGACAAGTTTTAACTGGAACTGCAAATTAAATTTTGGGGGAAGTCGTGGCCTAATGGTTAGAGAGTCGGACTCATAACCCAAAGGTTGCGGGTTCGAGTCTCATACCAGCAGGGATTGTAGGTGGGGGGAGTGAATGTACAGCGCTCTCTCCCACCTTCAATACCACGACTGAGGTGCCCTTGAGCAAGGCACCGAACCCCCAACTGCTCCCCGGGCGCCGCAGCATAAATGGCTGCCCACTGCTCCGGGTGTGTGTTCACGGTGTGTGTGTGTTCACTGCTGTGTGTGTGTGCACTTTGGATGGGTAAATGCAGAGCACTAATTCCGAGTATGGGTCACCATACTTGGCCACATGTCACGTCACTAAATAATGTAGGGGAAGATTATTAGTAACAACTTAAATTTTCTTCATCACACAAATTAATCACTTATCTTGAGAAGACTTGCACAAAATATTTACAGAATATAGTGCAAAAGTCATATGGACTGCTTTTATTATATATTTTTTCAGATTTTTCCATACTGGAGCTTGACAGTCCAAATCCAAAACAGTATGTTCCTCGAAACATCTCCTTTCGTGTTCCACAGAAGAGATAATGTTTCTTTAGATCAGTGGTTCTTAATTCCATTCCTCACACACCACCGCTCTGCATATTTTTCATGTCTCTCTTATTTAACACACCTGATAACCAGCTCATTAGAAGAGAGCTCCATGCATGAACTGTGTTCCGATTGACATGGTCCCTACATAGTGTTCTCCCTACTCCCTGAGCAAGTTTACTTCACTTTGGAACATTTATTTACAAATTTACGCTACACCATGGCCTGCAATGTCTTCACACACAGACAAAACTTACTAGTGAAGTGTGACATAATAACATAAAATTTAACCCTCATAAGGTCCACGTTTCCTGTTTACACTAAGGTCTTTGGGGTCAATATGACCCCAAAATTGAAAGAGTAATTGTAAAAAAAATATATACATTTTTAATCATACAAATAATATATATATATTTTTTTTCTTCTTCTCATCTATACATTAATGCTGTGTTTTGGGAGATATGAAGTAGTTTTCTACCTGTTTACCACAAAATTCCTCAACTACACCATTAGCTTGCATGTGAAATATTAAATTTTTTATGAAAAAATCACTTAAATAATGATCTAAATTTAAGTTGTTTCTGAATATTGATCTAGGTGTTAGGTGTAAAATTCTGCCATCTGCTGGTTAGAGAAAAACTTGTAGAAATCACAGTTTTTGAAAGAATAGTGTAGTGACCATATATGTCCAGCAAAGGTCCACAGAGATCCATAAATTTTTCTGGAAGTGGCTAACTGCTCTTCTCACAACTTTTCTGATATATATTTTGTAAATATATATTGAAACATTATAAAATACATTATAAACAGTATTTTTCTCAAAGGTTATAATTTGTTTTTGCTGTTTGAGGTATTTTGAAGTGCCCGCTTTTGCAATAATGCCACATAAATTTGCAGAAATGCCACACAAGTTGTCACTAAAACTTGATTGCAGGCACATTTTATTTCAATCTAAAAAGTAAAATAAAAACAAAGAGTGAGTATGCTCGTTCCACACTGCATTTGTTCTCTAGTATCAGGCCTTCGTTTTTGTGTGGACATTTTCAGATTTATGCAGGATTTATTGATTTTATTTGCCAATTTCTATAAAAATGCTCTTTGTTGCAGTCACACGTGTGTGTGTGTGTGTGTGTTTGTTTGTTTGTTTGTTTGTTTGTTTGTTTGTGTGTTTGTGTGTGTGTGTGTGTGTGTGCGTGTGTGTGAGCATGTCTTTTCTATGTTGCATTTGTGATCTAGTACCAGGCCTTCATTTCTGTGTTAAAATTTTCAGATTTATGCTGGATTTATTTTTATTTTTTTGACAAATTAACATAAAATATATAGATTTTTTCGCATTTCCCATTCATTTTCAATTGGGGTCATATTTACCCCAAAGACCAGATTTGTAAAAAAAAATTTTTTACATACCTTCAGAAAAACCGAATCAAGCCCTTTTTTAAAAAAAATGTGAATACAGATAGAAAATGTTGAAAAGTCACAAAATCTTATTACACTGAGATGAAGGGAACCATTTTTTTTAACTAAAGAAAATTTGATTGGGGTCATATTGACCCCAAAGACCTTATGAGGGTTAAATTCACATCTCACACACTTTAATGCCCTTTGAATGGAACATATACGCTCTCTTTGAACTGGAATCATTGTGAAATATCCTGTGATGTCCACTTTGCAGGGCACTTACGGTCAAATACAAGAAGCGTCTGAAGTGATGAGATGCATGCAAAATGTGCAGAGCGGTGCTATGCAAGGATGGAATTGAGAACCACTGCTTTAGATTTGGTACAGTTGGTTTTCAAGAAGTACTTTTATAAATCAAATGAAACAGTCATTGCACAGAATTTGAAGTGCCTGAATATATCAAATTTTTCCATTTCAGACAACTGATACTGATGACTATGAATCAGACCTGGGTGGATTATGTAACAAAGAGTTGGTGCGACAGTTCAGTAAGACCTTCGAGCCCCCTCTCTACTGGATCATCTTTGTCGTGGGGGCTTTTGGCAACCTACTGGTCATCTGTATCTTCACAACTGTGCAAAACCGCCTCAAGACCATGACTGATGTGTACCTGCTGAACCTGGCAGTGGCTGATCTTCTCTTCCTAGGCACATTGCCCTTCTGGGCAACAAATGCCGCTCAGGGCTGGGTGTTCAGCCAGGCCATTTGCAAAGGAGTTTCTGCGGTCTACAAGATCAACTTCTTCGCTAGCATGCTCTTACTCACCTGCATTAGCGTGGACCGCTACATTGCCATCGTTCATGTAACCGAAGCGCACAACTACAAAAACAAACGAATGCTATATAGTAAGATAACTTGTGTTTTTGTGTGGCTCGCATCTTGCCTCTTAGCTCTACCAGAATTTCTCTTTGCTAAAGTGAAAAACATTGACCCCCAGAGCACTTCCTGTGTCATGGTGTATTCAATCACAGACAACAATCGTACCAAAGTCTTGGTATTGGCTTTACAGATCAGTGTTGGCTTCCTATTCCCATTGCTTGTCATTGTGTTGTGTTATTCAGTCATTATTCGTAAACTCCTGCAGGCTCGAAGCTTTGAAAAACACAAGGCTCTAAGGGTCATCTTTGCAGTTGTGGCCGCTTTTGTTCTCTCACAGCTGCCATTCAACGGATATCTGATTATAGAAGCAGGCCAAGCCAACAACGCTACAATAACAAACTGTGAAGTCATGCAAAGCTTAGACATGGCTGGGCAAATTGTGAAGTGTCTTGCCTACACACACTGTTGTCTGAATCCCATCCTGTACGTATTTATCGGCGTTCGCTTTCGGAAGGATCTCTTCAGCCTGCTTCAGCGCATGTCCTGTGGCCTGGGACTGGTCAACAACAGCAAACTGCAACAAGTTCCCAAGAGGCCCTCTGTTATGTCTGACACTGACACCACCCCTGTTTTTTCTTTATAGACCAGCCTACAGTATTGACAACCTTTTAAAATACTTCTACATCTACAGAGTGTAATTTTTATAGGAGTTATAGGTCCTTATAACTGCAAACATTTTTGGGCAAGGCCTTTGGAATGTGCTTTATGATACTATTATTCCTGTATGGCCCTCTGGCTGTACATGATGGTAGATTGTGGAGACATAGATTTTGTACATAGATTCTGTTTTTGAGCATTTAACCACAATTTTGGCAAGGATGATTGCAGTTAGAGCAGTGTAATGTATGCTATGAGTATACTATTATGATTTACATACTTTTTTTTAGAATACATGTTACAAAAATATTGTAAATTGTAAATAGATTTTGAGAACTTTTTAAGTGTAATGGATTTAATTTTGTATTATAAATAAAGTGAAAATTACATGAGTTCTGATTTTCTTTTCATAAAATCTATATTTTTTTTCATGGGTTAATTCACTTTTGGCCCATGGACCTTTAGAAACAAATTACAATTCTGTACAAAATTACAGCTTGTGGCTGGTTATGAAAGAACTGTTGGACAATCAAAATTGTCTACATTATTATTTCAGTCTGTGTTTAGATCATAGTGTAATCATTAATATTTAGTAGCAGATGTAAGTGATGAAGGGGCGTACATGATAAAAAGTATCCAAGTTGTCTAAAGTTGAAGAAAAACCCTTAATATGTCCAACAGGACAGTACAGAAGTTATAATACAGACATGATGTGCTCAAGTAATAAGTTTAATGCTTACTACTGTGGTTAAGTCATTCACTTGTAGGGGAAATAACAGACTTTGCACCAGATTAGGAGCACTTCAGGGCACTGGCATTGGGGCACTGGTATTGGTTAAGTTATGCCTGTACAAACATAGATGGTGTACCACAAGGCACAACCACAGGAAAAAAAAAAGAAAAAAAAATTCTGAAGAAGAATGGTGCAGATACAGCTGTCGATAGACTCCGTAAGGAGGCTTAAACTCCTGCTTGGTTCAGGATTCACTAGCAGAAAAGTAAAAATAATAAAATAAATTTGTTTGATGTCTGAAAAGAATTCTGTCGTAATTTACTTTCCCTCATATCGTTCCAAACCGTATGACCAGGGCAGGACTTACGGGGCCGGGGGCCCCTGGGCTTGAGGTTATGTTTGGGCCCCATACCTATACTACAAATGCCCTCAACTAGAACATTATTAAGGAGTAACACAAAATACTTAATTCAACTTGTATACAATTAATAGGCAACATGTCTAGTCAAAGTTTAGATGTAAAGTAGGTGGCAGAAAGTGACTGTCTTAATGAGCGAGTTGAATCCTTAAATCAACTAATTTGTTTAAAATGCTAATTCATTTAACTTAGCAAACCACTGTACTTATAGCTTGTTTGAACCATTTACTGGTTCGTGTAATGCTGAGAAAAAAAACACTGTGTTGCTCGGAGACACATTGATGGGGCAAAACAGAATTTTGTGTCTGAAAGTTACTCAGTAACTTGTTGTTTATTGTACAT